GTGCGAATTTAAGGAATAAGATGTTCAGAGTGATGGTTTCCAGTTATTATCCACATACATGTACGTGTATGTGTGCACGCTGAAAGTCACGCTTCATTCACCTGGTCAGCTATTACTCAGAAACTGAACCACCCGAGAACCCCGTGATCGTGCTGGACAGCCCGCTGCCGTCGCGCCGTTCTCTCCAATCCAGTAGCGACAGGGACGAGCCCGACTTTGACCTCATCAGCGAGGAAGAGATCAGCGCAGTGAGGAATTCCATCTCGTCCCCGCTGGACAGCCCCGTCGTTGGGCTTAGAAGTCCGCGCCTCGCGGAGAAAAGGTGGGCAGATGAGATGTGGTTGAGGGCTAGGGCAGAGTAGAGTAGATGGGAATGCACCAGTAGATGTAGATATGCACCAGTCGATGTACATGGACATGTAGATGTCATGTTTGTACCTTTTAGTGTCTGATGTACATGTAACGTATAAGTGTGTGTGCTCATTCCGTAATTTTTCTCTGTGTAGTAATTAGTCACAGCTGGACTTCAAAATGCTTTATTTGTGTTCTTTTCAAGTTGTTTAGGAATCATAGCAGAGTAGAAATTCATAAGAGGATTTGAAATATTTCAATGTGCTTTTACCTATTCTATATTGAAGTAAAATAGTAAATCGAGAAGTTTTATGGATTATACATCTGTGTTAGTGCAGTGGGAAGAATAAATTCAAAAGGTGGCAGATTGAATGTTGCTTTCAGTGTGGCAAAGAGGAGCGGAGTGGAACCATAGAGCTATATTAAATTACTGGGGTGTTAACTCCACGTTCCCCCCCCCCCATGTCGAGAAATTCTGATGCCATCCCGAGCGCAGACATTTTGAATTTGTGTGCATACTTGTAGAACATGATGGAATAAGATTAAACACATTTCTAACAAAGTACCGGTACTTTATGATGCAACACACAAAGACAACTTTAACCTTCCTAGGCTGAAGTCACTCTTTGGGTCATTTGGTGAACACCTCAAAGAAGCACAGCCGTGTCGTGTTGTGCACTGCACCAACAGTCCCTCACAGGAATATCAGATTGCACTTTTGTGCTGCCCAACAACTGTGCCTCACTGTTCCATGTGCATAACTGTGCACTAAACCAAATGCAGTGAAGAGGACTGCACAAAAGACCTTGGGTCATTTTGTGCTGACAACCTACTGTGTACACACTGAACCTGTGCATGTTTGTGTTCCATACAGAAAACACATGCAAGAGAGTGACTGTGGGCACTCGTGCATATTTGTGCTGTAAAGCCAAAGGAGGGTTAATACATGAATGAAGTTCTGATTAAGTGCTTTCTCTTTTAGTAGTGCAGTAAGATGCATTATTAAAAAAGCCCATGCAAAATGTGTCTGTGTTTTTAGATAAAAAACAGATTACTCATTTTGTAATGGTTCTTGGCATTATTGCCTTAATGGCTTTGTTGCATCATTCAAGAATATATTGACACTGATACTGCATATATATGCAAATGGCTGTACTAAAAACCACACCAAATGTCACGTTTTCCAGAGCTTATCCCCAAATATGGATGCAGCCAGCAGGCTTACTTTGTACAGCAAGTTAGCTGTCTAGTAATTTAATATCAGCTCTAAGAGTAGAACATAATGTGACAATCTGTCATCAAGTAAAAATTGTTCTTCCCGTTGCTAGAATGTGAAGCATCCATTAGGGTTTTTTTTACAACACCTGAATAAATCCTCTCTGTGGACAAGTCAATGCTTTCATATTCAGTGTGGCATGAGAATCATGACACAGAGTTGTTGAGCCCCAAATCATTAATTAATCCGTTAACTGGCATTTCTGTAGGTCTCGCGAATTGCTCTGTTTGGCATCCTTTTTTGACTTGTTTCTTTCAATTGAAAGTATGGCCTCACTTATGACATCACTGATTTTCTCATTTCTCGGAAGTCCAGCCATGTTTCGCATGTCACTATTGGTACCATCTGCCGTTTGGTCATTTTTATGGTGAAAGCCATGCATGCCCATCAAAGATAAAGTTCTGTCAAGCAGTGACCATCAGCCAGTCACCGAGTGATGTAACAAATTAGTGGCATGTGATGGATGGCCCACCAGTTATGGATGATGGGAGTTTATTCAGGTGTTGTCGTTTTTGCATTTCTTTGCTTTGTGTGTACAATTTTCCTCTCGAATCTTTTCTGCATGTACCTGCACTGTACAAAAGTGTACATTCTTTGCCTATTCCTTTCCTCATCACACGGTTGGTGTTCTGATATTTCAATCCTTGTAATGCGTTGCCTTCAAGTGAAGTTTGAAAGTATTATTTTTATTACTAATACCCCTGGAAAGCATCACATTTTCCTCCCCCAAATTAATGCCCCATTCAACTTTGTTCCAAAAGCAAGAGAAAATTGTCACGGTTGTTTAAAAATTCTACAAGATTATGAAACCTCAAATGAGCCCTTTTGAGTTGATTGCCCATATGCATGCTCAGACGGCTTCATGTCCTCCTCGCAGTTTTGTTAAAAAGTTGGCGTAATGCATGTGTCTGGTACATAACCACAACTACTTGTACTACTTTGTATTTCCATGACTTACTTCTTTTCTCTAATAAATCAAAGGCCGTTTTCCAATACTCGACTTTGGCTCCGTCTCAGGCTTGAACTGTTTTTTTACTACCTGACTTTGAAGTTGTTAGCGCAATAATAAGTCTGATCATGTCACAAAACATCAAGTAAGATGTAAACGAGCCAAACATTACAGAACTTCAATTTAATTTAAATGCTTCAGGCTCACAATCGGGATTGGTTTCAGAGACGAAGCCTGAAACAGAGACGAAGTTGAGTATTGGAAAACGGCCCTAGACCAAAAGTAGCATATTGCAGTATGTACATAAGCATGTTTCTGGCTTATTTTCATATAGACTTCTCCTTTCTTTGACCGCTGGCAGGTTTTCTGACCAGTGGTTGGTGGTATGTACAAAACCAAAAGACTTATACATGCATATGAAAAGTTAAAAGGAAAATCCCCTTTTTTGTACATATTTAAACGCTAAATATAATGAATACTTCCACTGGATCAAAAGAAAGAAATGTCTGTGTTATTAACACCGATGACACAAAATGTGCACTCTGAGGCCAAAGTTGTTGCCAGAGAATAGTGAACATTCTGTAAACTGTAATTTGGCTGCCCCCTGCAAAATGGCGGTATTTTTTTGCAAACTATAAAAAGAAGTCTATACATGCCTCAGTCATGAGAGGATGTTGCATTTTATGTTAAATTAATGGACTCTAATTTTACGGTGTTAAGATTTGATACTTGTTAAGTTGTGTTTTGACATTAAAATAAGTATGATTTTAATAAAGTGTTTCTAGTTTTCCATTCGCTAGTTCTAGTTTTCCATGTAAAAGTTTTCCTACTTTTTTCCACAAACACCATCATCCTCTCAAAAGGTATTCATAAGTGTACAAAGACTGCGTTTTTGTTCAGAACCATTTGCAACATTCATGTACATACCATTCATCATGTACACATGTGTGCCTTTAAAAGATGATACACAATTCTTGAGATGAGCCTCTTGATGCATTTTGTGTGTGCATGTTGGTTTAAATAATAATTTTTTTTAAACCAAAGGATGCCATGTTGCATGTACTTAATCTTGCTCTTGTGTTAAAAGTGTGCATGTGCATGTGTAGAAGTTTTGCCATGTTAAAGACTGTGCATTACATGTATTGTGACCATAGTGCTTAAAACAGACTTTAATTTCCCCGTCTTTTGTTCCCTCCAGCACGTTCACCTGTCCCACCCTGCACATGAGTGAGCTGGAAAGCGGTAACAAGGCCGATGATGACATCACCATCAAGGCAGGACAGAGCTATGCAGTGCCAATACATCTGGATTCGCCGGGGATTACCCTGTGCTGGGAATTTGCCTCAGCTCCCAAGGTACAAAAATGCGAATTTGTCTTCTTGTTGGGTGGATGGTTTCACTGGGCTTCATTTGTAAAATTTAGCAGCAAATGAGGCAAAACTAGTTTGGTATGCTGAGTGGCCAGCTTCTGGGTTTTTCTTGGTCTTGTTTTAACCAATTTTGGACAGCACTACTTTGAGCTGAAGAAAAAGAATTTTTTGAAAGCCAAGACGTGTTAACCAAGTTGTCATATCAGACAAAACGCTACATACACAGCATGACCCTTGAGTGTCGTGCACAAACTTTCTCACTGTAACTTCATTTAGATCTGTTGCAACTCCTAGGCCCTGTCACAGAACAAAATGACTGGCTATGTACAGCCTGCCAAACTACATATATGTAACAACCCATGTCCTGACTTTACTGACTTCCCAGACACTGTGACTGTGTACAGAAACAATTCAAAACTGCTGAACCCTAAGATGTGTACATGCTTATCTCTGTCTGAAACTCCAATTCATTGAGCTCAGCAGCCCCTCTAAACTGAAGCTGTACCTTCACTAAACATGGCCCTGTTTCCTGAAACATTTACAGTGTTACTCTTTATAATATTACCTCAACCCTAACAGTCCTCAGTCCTCCGACTAATAACGATAAAGACATTACCTCAACCCA